GGGTTTGGAGGCAGGGGTGTAATTAAAAATTGTGGGCTTCGTCTAGAATAGAGAACAGAATGAAAGTGTACTGTTGGAGGGATTATGCAAAAGCATTCGTCAGTTGACTATACATCTAACAGTTAGCCTTCTTTGTTGTCCATTCTTTTAAAATACATTTTTTTCTCTTATTTTCAATCACATTTTTAAATAAAATAATATTATAAATAAACTTTAAAAATTTCTTATTTTTTAAATCACATATTCTCCATCAAATTACTATTTTAAAATGCATTTTTGTCAAAACATGGAGCTCGAACAGGATCATTGATTTATTTAAATATATAAATATAAGACCTATTTAATACAGGTGATACAGCATAAATAAAATTGAATTGAAAGATGTTTAAAATTACATTTCCTGGTAAGTATATAGGTTTGAGCTTTGAACCTTGGAAAAAGAGATGAGACTTGCAAGTTAATTGTTCCGATGGTTACTACATTTATGTTTATGTCTTCAATTGAGTACTAAAATTTAAAATGTCCAACGTTGGACGTTACTCACGATATTACTTCCCTTTAAAATCTCTAACTAAATTGGTGACATAGATAACGGATGCACATGTGACACCCTGTCATGCCATTAAACTTTGAAATAATCGAATTTTGATCACTAAACTTTGAAAAATGCATTTGATTGCTCACTAAAGTTTGAAAAAACATATTGTATTACTTACCGAACTTTGAGGGGTCGAATTTTGGCCACCAAAATTTGAAAAATGTCTTTTACTCTTCTTAATAAATTTGGATTTAATTAAAATTCGTAGTTAAAATTTGGATTTAAATTTGAATTTAATTTAATTCTAACTATTGTATATTTAGCCCCCGTTTGAGCCACATTAAAATTTTCGTTCACATTTTTCTACTCATTTTCAATCACACATTCTTCAATAAAATAATATTTTACATCACATCAATATTTTTTCTTCTTTTTAAACAACACATTTTCCATCAATCTATTATTCTAAAATACATTCTTCCAAAATAATGTGACTCAAATAACAAATTTATTTTATATTTCGTTGCAAAATTCAAATATTATGATAGAAAACGGTTGTGAAGCTGTGCAAAGAAAGTGACTAATAATTACAATGAAATATACAATAAATTTGTTATTAAAATTAAGCCCATGTTTGGTCCGGATTAAAATCTGATTTTAATCCAAATCAAAGTCAAACAATCAATATTAACCACATCTTTCATAAATCCCACAACTTTTCAACCACACATTTCAAAAATTTCTATCACAATTTACTAAAAATCAAATTTTAATCCCCAACAAAAACCCTCTAAATTAAATTTTACTTTTAATGAAATGTGTTGTTGAAAAGTTATGGGTCCCATAAATATGTAGTTAAAATTATTTGTTGAATTTGAGTTTGATAAAAATCTAAATTTAATTTCTACCAAACATGGACTGAACCCTTGTTTGGTATTGATTAAAATCAGATTTTTAGTAAATTTTGATAAAAGTTGATGAAATATGTGGTTGAAAAGTTATGGAACTCATAAAATCTGTAGTTAAAATTGATTGTTAATTTGACTTAACTTAAAATTTGAATTTTAATCGGTACCATATAGGGGCTAAATTTGTTGTTAAAATTAAATTAAATTCAAATTTTAATTCAAAACTTAACAATGCATTTTAATTAAATCCAATTTTATTGAAAGCAATAGAAGATATTTTTCAAATTTAGTAGTCAAAATTTGATCATCTCAAAGTATAATGAGCGATAGAAGACGTTTTTCAAAATTTAGGCCTTGTATGGGAGGGATTAAAATCGGATTAAAATTGAAAATATAGCCGTTATTGTTGACTTTTATTAGATGAGTGGAACCCAATAACGGTCATATTTTCAATTTTAATTGGCTTTTAATTGTGGCACTAAGTCCCAAAAGATTTCTGTTAAATTCATATCATCAACATTTTATACATACATAACAGATTGTCATACCATACTTGATTCATCATTTGGATTAACTTTTGAAAAATTGCTATTTAGTCCCTGAACTTTCATTGACTTGCATTCAACGAAATGAATTGACCATATTATAACGTACATACATCATATGC